CAGGCTCCACATATACATTTCTATTAAACATTACTTCAGAAATTATTGTGCCCTATTAAAAGTGGAGAAACGGAAGCTGAGGAGGGCAAGCTACTTGTCCATCATCATACAGAAGTGATAGTTAACATGAGGGGGCATTTGAACCCAAGGCTTCCTGATTTCAGGTCTACAACACAATCCATTAAGCCTCCTATTTATGTAAGAGGTTTAAGCTCATAGGATAATAGATTTACAGTTGGAAGGGACCTTAGAGGCCAATGAATGAGTTCACATTCTAAAGCTTTCATAAACCTTAAAATACTAATATTATTTTTATCTAGTCCAAGTTCTTTGACACCAAATCCAGCATCCTTTCCAAATCCAATGCTCTTTTCAGCACACCATTCTTCATGATCCTGTAAGGTAGAAATTTTTAATTCTATTATCCCATTTTTATTGACAAGGAAACTGAGTCTTCAGCAACTTGTCCCAGGTTATTAAACAAGTAAATGTCAGAACTATGACAGCTATCAGTTATGTATCATGTTTCCTTTAGTATATATTTTTTATCTCATATTTCTTTACTCTTTTTTATTGCCCTTCCCTTGTTTTTCTGCCTTTTAAAAGACCCTACACATCATGTCTGACTATGTCATTATCCCTATTTAAAAAATTCCAGTGACTCTCTGTTACTACCAAGATCAAATAAAAAAATCCTCTATTTGGCCTTTAAATCCTTCACAACTAGCCCCTTCCTACCTTTCTAGTCTTATTACATCTTATTTCCCTCTACATACTATACAATCCAGTGATACCAGTCTCCTTCTTGTTTCTCAAACATGGCACTCCATCTCCAGATTCCAGGCCTTTTCCCTGGCTGTCTTCCAGGCTTGGAATTCTCTCCCTCCCCATCTCCATCCCCTGGCTTCCTTCATGTCCCAACTAAAATCTCACAAGAAGCCTTTTCTGATCCCCCTTAATGGTTAAGTGCCATCCCTGTGAGATTGTTTATATTTTGTTTGTACATGGTTGTTTGCAGGTTTTCTTCCCCATTAAACTGTGAGCTCCTTGAGGCCAGGGACTGTCTTTTGCCTTTCTTTGTCATTCTAGCATTTAGCACCGTTCCTAGTACTGCTTAATAAATGCTTATTAGGCAAGTAGGTGGCAGAGTGAGCACTGGATCTGGAGTCTGGAAGACCTGCGTTCAAATGTAGCTTCAGGCACTGTGTGATCTTGGGCAAGTTACTTAACCTCTGCTGCCTCAGTTTCCTCAACTGAAAAATGGGAATAATAAAGCACTCCTTCTCCCCCAGGTAGTTACAAGGATCAAATGAGATTATATTTGTAAAGTGGTTAGCACAGTGCATGCCTAATAAATGCTTCTTTCCTTCCTTCACTGTTGACTTGACGACACCATCCTGACAGCACAGGCATTTCTATATGGAAATAGGATTGTCCTTGCAACAGTGTATAGAGGATAAAATTAAGATTCAATCAATTAGTTAATCAATACTTATTAAGAAGTAATAGGGGAGCCAATCATGAGGCATGGCCTCTGCTCACCAAGAAACCACAATCCAGTTAGGGAAATTAAAAACCAAAACCAACAACAACAACAATATAACAATATAACAACAAAATAACAATTAACTGCCAAGTGTGTGATAGATGTTATTTGATGGGTAGTTCAATTCAACCCAACAAACACTTGTGAAGTACCTACTATCTGTTTAAAATGGCAGTACATGTATTGGAGAAATAACTTCTGGATGGGTTAAGCAGAGAAGGCTTCAGAAACAGTTGTTTTTTGAGTTGAACCTTAAAGGTTTCTAACTGCTGATGCTCAGCAATAATTTTTGTAAATTTTTGGTGATTTGGTAAGCTTTCTTACTAGTTTATAATGTAAGGCTGATGCCAAGAAGAAATACAAGATTTACCAGTTTTTTAAAAACAACTGGTGAGTCCTGGGGGATAATTTCTGTCCTCTTTCCTCCAGAGGGTTTATGTACTGCATACCTGTTGGTTGATCATTGACCCTCATCAACTCCTCAGGCTGGAATTCTCTTCCTCTTCCTGTGTCTCTTGCAACCCCTTCCTCCTTCAAAAAACAGATTAAGTGCCACCTCCTAAAAGAGGCCTTTTCTGACACTCCCCCTCCCCTTTGTTATTAGTGCCTCATCACTCCTGAAAATGCTTTCATTTATTTATCTGGGTCCCCTTCCCTTCCAAGTAGGATGTCAGTTGCTTAAGGGAAAGAATAGTTTTGTTTTGATCTTTGTAAATATATCTTAATGCTTAGTACAGTACCTGGCACTTGGAAGGTAGTTAATAAATACTTGTTGACCTGAATAGACTAATGTACATCTGTCAGTTTCTTTCTACCCAGAGCATTCTGATTGTTTGACTACTTTGCATAAATACTGCAGGTGTTTACTGATTATCTACTGAGATCAGGAAAGCATGTGCCATTCCATCTTTGTTCCCAGGTAACTTCTGTGTTTAGAAGGGGTAAGAAGATGACCTCATAAAACACATTAGTCTGTCATGGCTTGCCATGAGCCACCAAGTTCTGAAAATTACTGTCTTAATATGTTGTAGATCTGGATAGTGGGTTAATGGGCCTATTGATTGGTGAGCTCCAGATGGGAATGGATGTAGCAATGCAGAAGGAAGCATGACCTTCCTTTTCACTGTGCACAGTATGGAGGTTAAATTCAATTTTTTTTTAAAAGACGACAGCAAGTTCGATGAGTCGACAGTGTGACAAAGCAGCCAAAAAAAGCTAATGTGATCCCAGGCTACTACTGTCTAGAGAATGGGAGGTGATAATCATGCTGTATTTTGCTCTGTTCAGCCCACATCTGTAGTATTGTGTTCAGTTCTGTGTGCCACAATTTAGGAAGCACAATGAAAGTGACATGACAAGCTGGATCTGTTCCAGAGGATGACTAGTATAATGAGGGGATTGGAGACAGTGCCCTATGAGGAGAGGAAGAACTAGGGTTGGTTAGCCTGGAGAAGAGGAGATTTACGGGGGACTGGAGAGCTGTCTTTAAGTATTTGAAAGGCTTTACTGTGGATGAGAGTTATGATTTTTTTTTTTAAACATGGTACCAGAGAGCAGAATTTGGAGCAAGGAATGTAAGTTTTAGGGAGAAGGCAGGTGTAGGCTTGATATCAAGAAAAACTTCCAGGCACAATACTAGGTCCTTAGTAAATATTGACTGGCTGGTAATTAGCTATGGTAAAATGGGCTGGTTCAGAAAGCATTAGGGTGTATGGCTCAGTGTGGCTTCAAGGAGTGGCTGGGAGACCTCTTGTCCAGAAGAGTCGATATAGATCCAATGAAACAATGTAGTATTCAGCGAAAGGCAGTGTGGTGCAGTAGACCTCATCTTGACCATAGTGGACCTGAATTTTCATCCTAGGTCGGCCACTTAACAGTCTATGTGACCCTGGGCTAGTCACTTAAACTCCTTGGACCTCAGTTTCTTCATCTGTAAAATTAGTTTGGCATAGATGACCTCTAAAGCACTTAACAAGAGCTTAATAAATGCTTCCTGCCTGACTTCTAGCTATAGTAACATGAGACTTAATGCGCTCTACATAAATGTGGACTGTGATTATTATGGGGGGGGGGGTGTCAGGTTGGCCTCCAAAAAAACTTTTGTTTCTTTGGGTTGCAGGTTTGACCCTGATGGCTGGCCTTAAGGAAGAGAGATTGATGGCGGGGAGCGGCTGCAGGTGATTCTTGCTCCTTTCTCCTGAAAACCTCTGGGGGTGGGCCCGTGCTGGGGCAGCATCCCGCCCAGCGCTGCAACCTGCTATTATGCTCAGAACTATGAAGGGAATTCCAGACGCAGAGAAGCTTCGTACCAGGAGGCCCAGTCCCAGAGGGCGGAGGGGCTGGAGGCGGGACCCTAGTGCGCGCGTGGCGAAGGCGGCGGCGGCGGCGGCGGCGGCGGCAGCGACAGCGCCCACTCCCCCACCTCCTCGCCGCGGAGCCGCTGCTTCCCCCCCCCAACCCCACCCCACCCCCACCCCCACCCGCCCCAGCTGCCCGGCCCTGTCGCGCTCCGCTCGGCTCTTTCCGCCGTCGCCTCTCGCTGGCCCGTGCGCTCCGGCACCTTCGGCAATTTCCGTCGGGCCGCGGCCGCCATTTTCTCGCTGCTAGTGTGTCTCGCTGGCTGCGCCGCTCGGTCCTTCTCAGCGGAGCTTTGTCCAGTTCGGCAATGGACGGGTACGTAGCCCGGCCAGCACGGACTTGGCGGCGGGTGGGACGGGAGGACGCGGGGCCCAGAGCTGCCCCGGGGTTCCCTCCATCCCCCCTCCGGCGGGGCCCTGGCCAGAGTGCCTGCGGCTGCCCCTCCCCGGACCGGGCTGCCGTTAGCCTCCCCCCGCCCTATAGCACACACCCCTCCTCCTCCTCCTCCTCCTCCCTGGGGCGGGCTGGGCTGGGGGCGGCCGGGCCGGGGAGGGGGCTAGCCTGGGGCCGAGCAGGCCCCGGCGGGACGCCGCGGCGCCCGTGGGGCGGGAGCCCCTCAGGGCTGGGCGGGCGGCCGCGGTGGTGGAGGAGGGAGGGAGGCTGCCGCCAGCCCCGGCCCGACCCGTGGGGCCCCGCAGCCTCGGGGAGCGGCCCGGGCCTGGCGCGGCGTGCGAGGCCTGAGCTGGGGGTGGGGGTGGGGGCGGAGGCGCGGCCATCCGTCCTCCCCGAGCCAGGCCCCGCAGCGCCGCTCGCCTGCAGGGAGATGCCCGCGGCCGGGAGGGAGCTGGGCCGACTCCGCCACCGCCTCTGCCGCCGAGCTCCAGAGCGGCGTGTCGGGGAGCTGGGGCGGGAGGCGGGCGGAGAGAGGGAGGGAGGGAGGAAGGGAAGGAGGAAGGAGGAGGGGAGAGCGGCGCGGAGGAGAGCGGAGCAGGGGAGGGGGAGGGCAGATGTCAGACTCCTTTGTTTTCACCCGGGTCTGGGGGGGGGGCGGGGGGGGTGGGAAACCGCCAAAAAAAAAAATGCTTTTGTAGGAGCGCCCAGGCACATCCCAGGCTAGGCCAAAGGGCGCCCAGAAATCAGCTTCTCCGAGAAAGGAGAGGGTTTGCAGCAAGCAATTAGTCATAGAGTAGGCAAGGGCCCTCCAGCCTTGGGAGAGTCAACACACGGCCAGCTTATGGGAGCTGATGGCGAATTGACCTCTTCAGAAAAGTGTGGCTTCCTGGAGAACCCGTGTCACCCCCACTCAGGCAGCGACCAAGGTTGAAAGGAAACACTATTTCTACTGTCTCACGCTTTGTGTCTTCTGTAGACCCCAGAAGGCTCCAAGACTTGAGTTGGTAGAGGATGTGAGGAGAAAAATCACTTAGTGGTTTTGTAGAAGGGTGGTCCTCAGTGACAGAAATTTGTGGGGCCCATTTTTCTCTTTTGAGTGGCGAAGTGCCTTTGAACCAAGGAAACACTCTTTGGGGTCAGACAAGGTAGTAAAGGAATTTCCTTGGGGTAGAGTTACATAAGGAAAAAGTTTGCTTTGGTTAGGCCTCTGAAGTTATTTCTTAGATATTAAGTGATGAGGGTATTAATGTAATTATTTTTAGAGCTAGGAGGGACCTTATGCTATCATCCAATTCAATCTTATTTTACAGATTAAGAAACTGAGGCCTAGAGTGATTAAGTGATTAGCCTGAGGTTATGCAGTAAAGTAGGGAGTGAGTTGCAGAGCTGGGATTAGATCCTAGAGCTCATGAATCCCAGTGCTTTTTCAATCATACTACACATTGATTTAATGTTTTTTTTTTTAAAAGCAGAAAGTTATGTGTGTTTTAATAGAGTAATGCAGAATATCTCTGTAGTTTGTTTTGTCAATAAAGCATCCCACCCAAAGACACTAGCCTGATTGAGTCATTAGTAAAACTTCTGTCTACTTCTTAAAAGTGATCTCTATCTAGTGAACCAGATTTATAGTTGTACTGGAAAATGATTGCTTCTCCCCATCTGTTTTTATCTAATTTTTGCCTGTGTAATAAAAATTTGAAACTCATATGAATTGTAAATTATGTGTAGAAATTTTTAAAAAGGTAATTATGATGCTAATTTATGAAAGACTATCAAGATGTTAAAGCCTTTAAATTTTCCTTTACAGCATTGTCACTGATGTTGCAGTTGGAGTGAAGGTAGGATGTGAACTTGGATGAAAATTACTAATGTGAAATTAGTTATTTTGTTGTGTCGTTGAAATACATTATTTTTCTTTTACAAGCAGTTTTTATTTGATCATTTTAAGAACACAGTTTAACTACGCAGACCTATGATAAAACTTAACTAACCAAAAGGTTTTATATAGATGTTTAAATAAGAAAATTTAAGTCTAATTTATTTTTGAGAAGTTACGAGTTTTCATTATTTGATCATTTTGTGAGTTCATAGGGGAAGGATGAACTAAAGTACTGATTAAGTTTGACAACTAACAACTCATTTGAAAGCACTTTTCCCACAATTCTAGGGTTGGTAATGCACCATGATGAAGAACTTATAATTCCAGTACTCTCAAGACTTAAAAGAAATTTTTTGTAATTAACTTTAGGATAACTTGTTATTCTCAACAAGTAAAGTACATTGAAAACCATTTTATTAGCCTTCTTTACAAAGAAGGAATAGAATATTTTTAAGGCACAGCGAAGTTCAGAAGTTAACTGTGATTTTGACATTTAGATTTGAAGCTTGTTTGACTTAAAAAGGAAGGTCAGTATCATTTGTTTGGGTTTCTTTATGGTATAAAGTGTTTTGTACATTTGAAAACTTGATTAACATTTGTTTTAATTTAAAAATGCTGACTTGCCAGGATGCTAGTAATCCCTGCTACTGGGAGAGGCTGAGGTCAGGTGGATGTATCTCTTGAGTTGGGAATTCTGAGCTGCAGTAGTGATAAAGCCAATGGGATGTCTGCATTAAATTCAGCACCAATATAGTGAGCCCCAGGAGCTTACGGGGGAAGAACCTTCCCAGGTCAGGCAGGATAGGGATACTCCTCAAAGAAAATCTGTCTTATAGTTCTATCAAGCAGTGTTACACATTTGAGAAAGAAGCTTCAGCCAAAAAAGAATTTAGAATTTAGTAGCTAAGATAAACACATGCAAATATAAATGAACTCTTGGGTATATGTATTTGTACATGAACACTAATGACAGAAGCAAGAACATAAACAACTCTCTCAAAAACATAAGCCTGTGTAGACTTTGTAATTTATTTTGAGGTTTTTGTTAGGATTATCTTCCTGTCAGCAGCTTACCTCTAGAATTGATTGAAATGGTGGAGTGGGAGGAAGAAGAGATAAGTTGTCTACCTGTTTCACTCTTTCTCTTAGTTTGTTTGAATTGGAAGCTGGCCTCAACTTCCTGGTCATGTAATTAGGAATGGAGGCTACCAGTAGCAGCAGTTTAGCAGAGTACTTATAAAAAAGAATGTGACTCCATTCCTCAGTAAATGGTTAAAATTTTCTGGTTTCAAATCTAGTGCTTTTGAATGGAAATATTTAGATCTTTATGCCCAAGGAATATGAATAGATCCTGCCAAATTTTAACCAACATGGTAGAATTGATTCATCCAAATTATTAAGTTACCTGTATATTTATTTTGATGATGCTGCCGTTGTGCAAAATGATAGCATAACCTTTCTAAGGATTATATTCTTTGCCATCCCTGGGATTATCCTCAAGGGTAGCAAATATCTCTTTAAAGATGAATTTGATTCGTGGAAACAGGCAAAAGTTTTTCAGGACTAAGTCTTAATAAGGTGGGTGATGAAATACAGTAATATCTTTTTTGGTCTAAAATATGTTCGTCTATAAAATAATAATTTTCTTGTGAGGCATGTTAAGTAACTCTTAAAACATTTCCCAAAAGTATAAGGATAGAAACTAGACCTGTTATTTTATTGGTATAGAGAACTTCTTGGTGAGGAAAACTCCCTCTATCAATGCAAGTTGTCACCTTCTGCAGTTCATATTGTTGGAGAGTTTGCCTTGAGCATTGAGAAGTTAAATGACTTGCCCAGAGGCTAGATTTGTAATAGGTCTTCCTGGCTTTGGATCTCACAAAAGTTCTAATAATGTTTTTGAACAGTGAGCAACATCAGTGAAAATCATCTTTCACTGTGTCTGCTTGAAGGGCAACATTTCTTTGTATGTTTAAGCAATGTTATGTTTAACGAGTCTCATTGCATTGTAGTCATACTTTGTATATGCCATGTATACCAAGTATTTGAAATGAGGACAATTATAAAAAAATTTGGCATTCATTGAAGGTTTTGGGGTGAAATTTGCTTTTTTTTTTTAAACTAATCTGAATGTTCTTCATGAAAGAATTTTGCACTAAACTTTGAAAGAGGGAATAGATAAGATTTGAGGAAGGATGTGTTGGGAGAGGGTGCATAGACATAGAATTTACTAGAAGATGGAAAGGTTCAAGCGTATCCTGCATGGAGCAAATAGATTTGCCTCCTATGAGAAGATGGACATGACAGATTTTAATAAGGGGTAAAAGTAAAATATAAAATTAAGGAAAAAAAATAAGGGGGAAAGATAGAGTGAGCACTAAGGATCATAAAGCCCTATAAATCAGCATTTCTAACTTGTTTGGGAGGAGTTGAAGAAGGGGAGCAGTAGGGATCTATATCAGAGATTTGAGACTGCGACATTCATGATCAAAGTGAGCCTTGAAGGAGATCATTCTTGCTGCAATTTGATAGATTAGGTGAAGAGACTGGAGACATGGCGAGGAATAAGGTTTGGAAGTAGGTTGTATTTGTGAGTATAGAGAGTAAATGATGGAGTTGAGTAAATATAAAGAGGTTCACCAGTGCAGTAGTGATGCATTCTTGTAAATGAGGGAGGATAAAGTTGAGAGGGATCAAAGATGATTCTAGGAATTGGAATCTGGAGAATGCAAAAGTTAATGGCTTTGCTGAAAGTGGAATAAATTAATGGCTTCCATTTAGGACATATTTTAGGTGGCGGTTAGCTATTACCTAAGAAGAGTTGTACTACATGTAATTTAAACTTGGAGAAACAGAGATTAAGGTTTAAAATAAAAGGACCATAGATTTGGGGTAGTAAGAGACCTTAGAGGTCATCTAATCCAAACTCCTCAATTTATATATGAGAAATACATACATAGGATTTACTGTATAGCAAGGTGACCTTTGGGAACAAATAGAATATTAGACAGACCTGAATCTGAGGTTTGAGGGATGGCCACAGCTAATAGAGCAGGAGAATCCAACACAGAAGATCTAGAATGAGTGGTCAAAGTAGTGTGAGAAAATGTTTATTAATATATTGTCTCTAAAACTGAAGTTATACTTGGCATATATTAGCTTCCTGTAATTGAAATTTGGTGGAAAATAAGCAAATAAAATATCAAAATTAGTTCCTAATCCTTTTTGCTTCAGGTTTTTACCTTTGATAATATAGATGCTTGAATAATTAAGACCAGGTTTAATTCTTTACAGGTGTAGTGCCTCTGTTTTACAGCTGTGGAAAATTTGCTAAGATAACATTTTTCTTTACATTTTTGTAGTTTTGGTCTAACCGTTGTGCCCTCATTTCTTAGATGACTTTCCTTTACATGAGTTGAGAGGAGGTTGGAGTTGTGGAATAAGAAACAAAAATCTCTATGTTTGTATACTACAGATATGCTGAGTTTCGTCAGGACAGACTTGTTTAATTCTTTATTTTTGTAAATTACATTTGCAAAGTAAAGCTATTTGGGCTTTCATTTGTAATACTACTATTTTGCTATTTCAGAAAAATCAGTATTTGGCAGATTCTAGCAAATTTAATGATTCTGTTCTTCATAGTCCAGTAAAATTATTAAAAGTGCTTAAAAGTGAATAAAATTCACTTAAAAGTGAATTACAAGTGAATAAACCTTCCTTTCATGAATAACTTAGTTAAATACAAGTTTTTTCCCCAAAGAAAATTACTCATTGTAGGTTGCTGATAATTTCTAATGTTTATGGAATCTTTTTGGTTATTTCCACATTAATTTGCATTTGAGATGGTTAAAGTGAGAAATTCTCAAAGTTGAATACATTTTTGTGTCTAATTATAAAATGAATAAATGGACATTCCAAAGACTTTCCATGAACAGCATGCTTAGGCATAATGCCAGTAATATTTTCCCTTTTTTTGGTAATGTGTCAGACTCCTGTAGATATGCTTTTTGCTTTCAGGTGCAGAAGTTTGTATCTATCTGCTAAAAGCATCTTCCCACATGCAAAGTATTCTGATCTTGTATTCAAGTTAAGAGTGAAAGGAGTTAGGTGTCTTTGATGGCAAACTTGAAACTTGAAAAGTATAGATGAATTAATTTTCTCCCTCCTAATCTCTTGGTATTGGCATGTTTGAGGTTGATTACAGCCAGGAAGTCAAACAGAAGTAAGTAGAATTCAGGGTTAAAGTTGGTAATGGAGGCATATATAGCACTTTACCATTTTTAAAACTCTTTTTCAAATGTCATTTAATTTTGAGCTTCAAATCAAGATGGGGTGGGCGTCAGTACTTTCTTAAAGAGGAGGAAATAGATGACCTGCCCATGGTCAACCTTCTAAACTGTTAACTGGTAAAGTGGAGACTAGAACCCAAGTCTTTAGATTTTCAAATCCATTATTCTTTTCATTACATTTCATTCAGGAGGAGCTCTGTGGGGTTTAGGGGGAAAGATACAAAACAGTCATGAAGAGAATTCCAGGAAAAATTATGTGATAGAGAATTTAGGATAGTGAAGATGGTTAATACTGTATTTTGCCTCTTTTGACAATACAATGGAAACAGAAGTTCAGGCCTTAAGGACTTCTTGTTGGAGAGGCAATTGAATATCTGTGGAGTAACTGTGATGTTATCTAAATGGCCTGGGATAGATCCTATTTCTCATAATTGAATATATTTGATGACAGATTAAAGCCTCCAGAATACACAAGGTAGGTACCAGAGGTGGGTCTCCTTGGGATTGCTGCCAACAGCATCCTTGGGAGATACAGCTGTTAATGGTATTTTCAGTGAGCTTTTAGAAGGAGAGAGCCAGTGAGAGATCGGCTATAGAAGTTCCATTTTATAGTGCTTTGTTATGTGACTCTTCTTTCTCCAGGACAGTTCAGCTCTGGTGAATTGGGAAT